AAAAAAAAAAAAAAAAAAAAAAAAAGATTGCTTCTGGCTACAGTGTAGGGAATGTAAGGAAGGTGGGGAGACAAGCTAGGAAGAAAAATGGAATAGATAAATCCAGCGATCACAGCTTCCGTAAGAAAAGTGCTAATGAGGGAAAGAATTTAAGAAAACATTAGAAACTCAGATCTGTACTTAGTGACGGGTTAAAAGTCAAGGGTGAAGGACGGCGTGAAATCCAGTTTTCTGATCAGAGCGTATTAGTGGATAAAAGTACCAGCCAGGCTGGGCGGTGGCTCACGTCTGTAATTGTAGCACTGTAGGAGGCCGAGGCGGGTGGATCTCAAGGTCAGGAGGTGGAGACCATCCTGGCCAACATGGTGAAACCCTGTCTCTACTAAAAATACAAAAAAATTACTGGGCATGGTGGCACATGCCTGTAATCCCAGGTACTCGGGAGGCTGAGGGAGGAGAATCACTTGGATCTAGGAGGTGGAGATTGCAGTGAGCCAAGATTGCGTCACTGCACTCCAGCCTGGATGACGGAGACTCCGTCTCAAAAAAAAAAAAAAAAAAAAAAGTGCCATCCAGTAAGTTAGAGAACACAGAAGGGGCAGCAGATCGGGGAATGAATATGTGAGTTCAATTTGAGAATGTAAAATTTATATTTAAATGGGAAGAAAAGACCAGCCTGTACACAACAGATAAAATCAATAGATAAAAAAGAATGCTGAAGAACTGGAGGCAAAACAAAGACGTGGAACAGATTTTAACTTTGATGGGGAGAAACGAAGAAAAAAGGCTCTAGTCAGAGAGTTTCAGAGTTTGCGATCTTAAGGGCACTTCAGTTTATGTGGGAGTGAGCACAGAAGTAGGGGGAATATAGGAGAGTTAAGAAAGCTGAAGAGCATTACTGTTGTGTGTATCAACAACATGGAAATTCAAACATTTAAGTATGACGAAAGAGATAGAATGAAGAGGAAAAGGATCAGATGTTAAAAGTTTTAAAAAGGGACCAGACGAGGTGGCTCACGCCTGTCATCCCAGCACTTTGGGAGGCCAAGGTGGGTGCATCACCTGAGGTCAGGAGTTCGAGACCAGCCTGGCCAACATGGTGAAACCCCGTCTCTACTAAAAGTACAAAATTAGCCAGGCATGATGGTGCATGCCTGTAATTCCAGCCCTTTAGGAGGCTGGGGCAGGAGAATCACTTGAACCTGGGAGGCAGAGGTCACAGTGAGCTGAGATTATGCCACTGCATCCCAGCCTGGGCAACAAGAGTGAAGTTCTGTCTCAAAAAAATGAAAATAAAAATAAAGTAAAATAGAAAGGATCAAAGAGCATCTTCTCGAATTACAGATTTTATCGATTAGGGAGAAGAAAGACAACACTGATTTCACAGAGGAGTGTGCTATGGTTTGGATGCCTGTCCTCTCCAAATCTCTCATGCTGAAATGTGACTCCCCATGTTGGAGGTGGGGCCTGGTGGGAGGTGTTTGGGTCATAAGAGTGGATCCCTCCTGACTGGCTTGGTGCCCTATTTGTTTTCCTGAGATCCGATTGTTAGAAAGAGCCTGGCACCTCTCCTCCTCTCTCAGTCCTGCTCCCTTGGATGCTTGCTCCCCTCTGCCTCCTGTCAAGGTGAAAGCTTCCTGAGGCCTTACCAAAAGCATATGTTGGCACCATGCTTCAAAGGCAGCCTGCACAACATGAGCCCAAATAAACCACTTACTTCTCTTTATAAATTACCCAGTCTCGGCTGTTTTCTTTTTTGTGGGGGGGGGAATGGAGTCTCACTCTGTCTCCCAGGCTGGAGTACAGTGGTGCAATCTTGGCTCACTGCAACCTCTGCCTCCCGGGTCGAAGCAATTCTCCTGCCTCAGCCTCCCCAGTAGCTGTGACTATAAGCACCCACCACCACGCCCAGCTAATTTTTGTATTTTTTCTAGTAGAGACAGGGTTTCACCATATTGGTCAGGCTGGTCTTGAACTCCTGACTTCGTGATCGGCCCACCTCAGCCTCCCAAAGTGCTGGGATTACAGGCATGAGCCACCACACCCTGCCTTCAGCTATCTATTTATAGCAGGAAAAATAGATGAACACAGAGTGGTAACCTAATTTCAAAGAGGAATAGCACCTGAACGTAAGCGCCGTACCGAGCGCTGGAAATGGCAGCGAGGAGTGAAGCACTGCTCTTTCCCCCATTACATCCACATGAGATGAAATGACCGGCAAAGGGCATTCACTTGCTGGTGGTTGTAAATGGAATGGTATCGAGGGCCAGCTAGAGCTCAGAACCACTGAAGAAATGGAGGGACAGTTTGAGGAAACAGTATGTTGGCAAGCTTGGTCATAACTGAACCTAAGTCTCAGAAGGCATGAGGGTCAAATGGGAAGAGTTATGGATAAAGACAAATGGATACAGCAATGGCTGACAAGAGGCTTAATACAGAATTGAAGATCCCTAATATTTGTTTAACTTTTATTTTAGGTTCAGGGTACCTGTGAAGGTTTGTTATATAGGTAAACTGATGTCACGTGGGTTTGCTGTATAGATTATTTCAGGTATTAAGCCCGGTACCCAATAGTTATCCTTTGTGCTCCTCTCCCTTCTCCCACCCTCCATCCTCAAGCAGATGCCACTGTCTGTTACTTCCGTCTTTGTCCTCATAAGTTCTTACATTTTAGCTCCCACTCATAAGTAAGAATACGTAGTATTTGGCTTTCTGTTCCTGCATTAGTTTGCTAAGAATAATTGCCTCCAGCTCCATGCATGTTTCTGCAAAAGACATGATCTTGCTCTTTTTATGGCTGCGTAGTATTCCATGGTGTTTGTGTATCACATTTCTTTATACAATCTGTCAGTGATGGACATTTAGATTGAGTTCATCAATTTAGGTTGATTCCATCAATTCCTTCGTTTAGGTTTGCTATTGCAAAGAATGCTCCAATGAACATTCACATGCATGTGTCTTTGTGGCTGAATGATTTATATTCCTCTGTGTATATACCCAGTAATTTAGCCCTAATATCTTTATAAAACACTGAGATTAGTACATGGTTTAGACCAGTGCTATACAACAAAACTTTTCATAATGAAAATGTCCTATATCTGCACTGTCCAATATTAGCTACATGTGGCCATAAGCACTTGAATTGTATGCTAGCATGTCTAGGGAAAATACATGCAACTTTAATGGTTAAGGTGCAGCCCCCAAATATAGCAATGAATCCACAGAAACCTCCTGTTATTCCAAGTGCCTATTAACACCGTCTGATCACTAAGTATAAACTGTTATTCTCATTAAGTATGTTTGAGTTACCTTATAATAAGTCCAGACTGAAAGATGCTACTAAGGCCAGGCATGGTGGCTCACGCCTATAATCCCACCACTTTGGAAGACCAAGGCGGGCAGATCACCTGAGGTCAGGAGTTTGAGACTAGCCTGACCAACATGGTGAAACCCTGTCTCTACTAGAAATA